GGGTCCTTGTGGAACTCCAAAGTATAGTTATTTTCATAGGGATTTAACATTTTACTTACTTTCTTTGTTAAGGTAAGGAACATCATGCTGATGTTTAATTACAAGTCATGTTTGAGCTAGAGGAATGCACATAGAGTAGTCATACTGAAACAGCACCAAAGACATATTTAGAGTAATCGGTGTCCTCCTTCCCATTTCGAGAGGTTTCCATTCCTCCCTGTTGCCCTTTGGAGAGACTGAACAAGTACCACAATGACATCTGCCAGGAGGAGTGTGGATATGCTTTCCTTGTCTATGGAAGCTCTCTGCTTCACTGTAACAATGCCTGCTGAAGAACAATCCAGGAAAGATGGAGCATTCAGGCAGAATGCAACCAAATTATGTGACAGCTCAGAGACAGTTTAGAATACTTTATTCAATAAAAGCTAGAGGATAGCTCTAGAGAAGAAAAAGCATAGATGCACAGCTGGAAATTGGCCACAACAGAAAGTAGGGAGGAACTCTGTGGATACATCTAGTCCATTCCCCTGTCAGAAGGCAAAATCAGCTATCTATTCTTGACAGGTGTTTGTCTAATATTATGATTAGCCCCCATGCTATTCTTGCCAAAACTGCCAGTGGTGATTAAAAAGCCACAGCTAGTCATAATCGTTTTTTTACATTTCTTCTAAATGATGCACTCTTCCTCAGCGTAGATCAGGGGTAGGCAATTATTTCGGGCGGAGGGCTGCTCACCGAGTTTTGGCAAGCTGTCAAGGGCCACATGGGTAGTCCTGCCCCGTGACAGGTGCCCGCCCCCTGGTCACCATCTTGGGACCAGAAGTCCCGCCCCCAACATCTGACCTTTGCCACAGGAAGTCCCTCCCCTTGCCTCTGGAAGTACTCCTTTGGGGAAGAGGGTTTGCCATCTTAGGGGAACCCCCCCCCCAAATTACATACTAAAAACCAAACACCCATAATAATATTTTGTTTAATTACATTAAAAAATATTTTTGTCCCGACTTGTGTGCATTTGTGGTGTATATGCAGAAGTGATTGCATATGGGGGGTTGTGAGGATGTGTAGATGTATGGGTGTGGGTACGGATGTGCATATGGTAGCCACGTAGTGCAGAGTGGCCAGTGGGTAGGCAGGAAAGTGGGGAAAGCGATGGGGTGGGGAGTGGAAGCCAGTAGGAGCGTGAGGCCTGCACCAATGTCCTGGGACCAGCGCTGGTGGAGCCCAGAGTGGGGAGGCAGAAGCATGGGGTGCAGGCTGGCAGGGGTCTGCGGATCTGGGCTAGGCTGCACCAGCAAGTAGAGGCAGGGAGCTGATCTGGCTCCATAGAGCCCATGCTGGCCTGGAACCCCATGCTCCTGCCTCCCATCTCTGGGCCCTGCCAGTGCTGGCCCTGGGACACTGGTGCAGGCCCCACACTCCCGCCCAGCTCTTGCGCATCCGCTCACTCCCAGTGCCCCCCATCCCAGACCTGTGGTACAGGCAGAGACCAGTGCGCATCCCTGACCCTGCACACCCTGTGCTTCCCAGTGGGGAACGAGCTGGTGCTCAGTGCAGGGGAAAAGCAGCTGCTCCCCTTCCCCGTGGCTGGTGGCCCCTGTGGCAGCCCCCCCCCGGCCCGTGGGGTTGTCCTGAACTTCTGCCGCATCAGCAGCGATGGCAATGGAGAGCAGGCACAGGCAGCCCTGCGTGGGCTCTGAGCAGCTACAGCATGGGGTGCCAGCCACAGGGCGGGGAAGCAGCTGGTTTTCACCCGCGCTGAACATCAGTTTGTTCCCCGCTGCCTATGCTAGCCTGGGCCCTGCACCCACTCTGGGCTCGCCCATTGGGGCTGAGCCACGGCAGTAGCAGCTGGGCAGAAGCTGCTGCTTGGTGCTGAGGAAAGCGGCTCAGACCCCGCTCACCTACAGCATGGGGTGCCAGCCACAGGGCGGGGAAGCAGCTGGTTTTCACCCGCGCTGAACATCAGTTTGTTCCCCGCTGCCTATGCTAGCCTGGGCCCTGCACCCACTCTGGGCTCGCCCATTGGGGCTGAGCCACGGCAGTAGCAGCTGGGCAGAAGCTGCTGCTTGGTGCTGAGGAAAGCGGCTCAGACCCCGCTCACTGCCACTGGGCAGTGTTTGCTGCGGCTGCCGGCCGGAAGCTTACACTGCACTAGGCTGCAGTGCAGCTGCTTCACCGCCACCTCTGTGCTG